TATGGATCCTTGCGGAATTCCGCATATTATTGTTCTTGCAGAAGAAGTTGGATCATTAACAGAACACACTTGCTTTCTATTCCTTAAGTATGATTGGAACCATTTTAATTCAATGTCGTGAATTCCAAACTGGGTTTTAAGCTTCTCCAATAATATCTCGCGATTCACCGAGTCAAATGCTTTACATATATCAAGAAAAACAACTCCATTTATTTTGCCTTCATCCATGTCTTGTAGCCATTGATCACACATTTGTATAAGAGCACCTAAGGTTCCATGCTTTGGTCTAAACCCGGATTGAAATTTAGACAGAAGCGCATGTTTATTCAAAAAGCTATATATTTGAGTAAAAACTTTCCCTTCAAATATTTTACTTATTATGGGAATAATTGAAATTGATCTATAATTTTCGCATTTACGCTTATCCTCAGATTTGTAAATTGGTATAACTCTAGCTAATTTCCACTCATCTATATAAATACCAGTTTTAAACGATAGGTTAAATATAAAAGTTATAGATGGAGCAATAAGGGTTGATGTCAGTTTTCAAATATTCGCAGGTATTCCATCCATACCTGTCGCTTTTGAGACCTTTAGTTTTTGTAGGCGTTTAGAAACACTATCTATAGTAATACCTGCGAAGTGAAAATTTTCTTTAGGAAGAAGCACAGTACTTTCATAAATTACTTGATCATTTGAAGCATCGGTGCTTTGACATGCTGATTCAGCAGCCATCTTCATTCCAATATTTATAAAATATTCATTTAATGTTTCAGTAACAGATTTATCATCAGAAATAATATCATCATTTACTTTCAGTTCATTAATATTTACATTCTTATGCTTTCTTCCTAAGAGCGAACTTGTCCTCAGCGTGTCCTTTGTCCTCAGCGAATTTGTCCTTGTCCTCAGCTTGAGGGACCTTGTCCTCAGTGTGAGGTACCTTGTCCTCAGCGTGAGGAACCTTGTCCACAGGTGAGGAACATTGTCCTTAGCGTGAGGAACCTTCTCCTCAGCGTGAGGAACCTTGTCCTCAGCGTGAGGAACCTTGTCCTCAGCGTGAGGAACCTTCTCCTCAGGGTGAGTAACCTTGTCCTCAGCGTGAGGAATCTTGTCCTCAGGGTGAGGAACCTTGTCCTCAGTGTGAGGTACCTTGTCCTCAACGTGAGGAACCTTGTCCACAGCGTGAGGAACATTGTCCTTAGCGTGACGAACCTTCTCCTCAGCGTGAGCAAACTTGTCCTCAGCGTGAGGAACCTTGTCCTCAGTGTGAGGAACCTTGTCCTCAGCGTGAGGTACCTTGTCCTCAGCGTGAGGAACCTTGTCCTCACTGTGACGTACCTTCTTCTCAGTGTGAGGTACCTTGTCCTCAGAGTGAGGAACCTTGTTCTCAGCGTGAGGAAACCTTGTCCACAGCGTGAGGAACCTTGTCCTCAGCGTGAGGAACCTTGTCCTCAGCGTGAGGAGCCTTGTCCTCAGCGTGACGAACCTTCTCCTCAGCGTGAGGAA